ATACATTGTTGGAGTAGAGAGAGAGAGAGCAAACCAATTCGAGCCTGGTTCAAATCTTCCTTCGCAACGGCTCCGAGACGCCCCCTTCTCGTCCTTCTTTCTCTACGTGTACACACGAAACCCACCTGATTCTTCGTCTGAAAGATAGATTATTCTTCTGTTCGTATTTTGTGCCTCTTCCAACGGGTCGACTGACTTCGCTGAACCTCGAACGTTCTGTCAGAGATTGTTTCATCGATCGAACCGGGTATTCTTTGAATATTGCAGCAGGTGAAACAATACTCGCGGAAAGACACGACTAACCAAATGATTTTATGGAAGATTTTTTGTCAATTTACTTTATTTTCACTGGTAGGATGCTTTTGTGCAATGAACTTTTATATTTAATAGACGTTGCCAATCAGTAATTCAATTATAGTGACTCACAGGTTTTTTTTCACGAAAGCCTGTCACTTTTATTCCGACCAAATTATTAACCGAACGCAAATCTTATTTCGAAATTGCGAAAAATTTATCGCGGACGTTGATAAAAGTAAGGGTACGGAGAATATATAAATCAAAATTGCGTGAAGTTTTGACACCTAATTGTTACTATACTATAGTAATGAAATCGGTATTCGTTTCCATAAAATTCACCGATCTACAAATTTTCCCGCACATTACACCATTATCACTAAACAAAACATCGAGAAGATACTTTCAATTCAAAATATGTCTCTTCACAATTTAAGAAATAGTGAATTACTTATTGCTGCATCCAGTATTCCAAAAAAAAAAAAATTGAACACAAACACTTTTTCACTCACTGCACATTTCTTGTTAAAAACGTCCTTTTCGGTTACATGGAATGTAACAAGTAGACTGCAAATATTTATCGTATATTTACCCTTCCCTCGGTGTAACGAAGATTGAAAGACTTGGACCCCCACATTATATTTTTCGATACTCTTGCCAAGTACACATTAAATGTTTCAAGAGTGAAATCTTCGTCAGTCGACCTGTTAGTCACCCCCAAAAATCGAACTTTCGACGATGATGGATCACCGTTCGATCGAACACTGACCTAAAAGAGACGAACGGGGATCGTATTCGACTCCTATCCCTTCCTACCCCTGTAAATCCACGTGTCCTGTTTCTCTGAAGGTCGGGGCTACAAAACATTTTCGACCGACTCACGACACGGCTGTTCACGGGTACCACCTGGAACACGGTAGTATTAGCATGGTGTGAAAAAAAAAAACATAAAAAACGATAGTGAACGCTAGATGAATTAGCTTTAAGCTTCTTTCTCGTTAAGAGGGAACCTATTATTATAACGAATATTTACATATATTTGTATTATTTGTAAACTAGCGCTAATACAAAACTCCAATTTGTGCATCGACACGCGAAACAAAAGAACCGCCCCTTCCAACCCCCCGCCCCAAATCACCATCCCCCTTTATCCTCGATCCCCTGAAAGCCCCATTTTATCCTGGAAGCCCGGTTACTTACGAGCAATACGAAAACGCCCCAATTACCTAAATCCATCCCCCACCCCTACCACTACCCTTCCGCAACAACCCCCTCCGCAAACACCCCCTCTTGAAATTTCCTTGTTCCTGCTCCGCTCGATCGGACAACCTTTCTCGCGAGAATCCCGAACGAAAAACGAAAATGCTATATTCCCCTGTTCTCCTTTCGGTTTTGTAATTCTGCTCTATAAACGTCTCGTCTATGTAATCTTCTCTGTATGTCGGGCCTTTTCCTCCGAAAAACGAAGCGAAACAAGAGTTAAAAAAGTGAAAAAAAAAACGATAGATAGAGAGAGAGAGAGAGAGAGAGAGAGAGAGAGAGAGAGAGAGAGAGAGAGTGAAAAAAACGACACGACGACGAAACGACGAAAGACGAAGAAGAAGCAAAAAAACGAAAAAAACCGCGAACGAGCGTGGAATACGAGAGATGAAAAAAAAAAAGATACACGACCTTACCTATCCTGAATATGCTTCACACAACATAGCGTTGGATGGTAACGTTACAAGACAAAAAAAAAAAAACTAAAGAAGGGAAAGAAAAAAAACGTTAATTGAGCATTGTTATCTATGTAATACAACATAGGATGTTTTGTATTATATTTTCATAATAAATAGACACGTAGAAAAAGACGTATTAACCATACCAGTGTTACATTTTTTTCTGTCTCAGACCCGCCACCCCCACCCCGATAATATTCTTCATCCCTTGACGCGTGATAATTGTGTCTCGAGTTTTTTGTAATTGTTTTCTGCGTTTACAATATTCATTTCACCGAGTCGCGAAACTTTGGTCTTCTTTTTTTTCTTCTTCTTTCGAACGGAAATTCACGAGTATTCGTGCGAGCAAAGACTTCGAACACTTTATCGGAAATACTTGTCATCCTGGAGGGTAAATTTTCTCGAAACGTGTTTTATTTTACTGCTGTGACACAACGGTAGTCCGATAAGGGAATAGCAATTAACGTAAATACCACTGTCGTTCTATCGTTGCAACTATTCGACGATACGCTGACGATCGTTGTTTTGTTAACGCGTTTGACTCATCGTGGACAAGCATTAATTACCACCAGCACGGAGAATAATGATGATAAATAATACATTTCATATAACCGCGTGTAACATCGCTAATAGTATAATAATTCCTGATGTAAATAATAGAATTCCAACACCTGTTGGATAAAGAGACAATTTCCAATCTGTACAACTTATTATCGCTATATGAGTTGTCCATTTGCCAAAGTGATTAACTCTCCAAAAATACAAAAACACTGAATGTAGCTAAGCATTGATCGTTGGACATTAAAATTGGCAAAAAAATGATATTTAGTCACTTTGACCTATGAACGATTTATAATCGAAAGTAAAACGATTTTTATGGTAAAATATGCCAGCGACCACCAGCCAAAATTCAAGGCAATCAGGATATTTCAACGACAACGTATATTAATGCCAGATAAATGGCAATCTCACAGGTTCGAAAATAGGTCAATTATGCGGGACACGTGTTAAAAGTGTACGCTGTGCGTTGCGTAAGCTCACTGCGACGGCCTTATGATCGATTTTGTCAAGTCGACAGCGAATTCTTACAATGACAAACGATGGACTAGAGCAGAAGAAGCGACATTGGAAATGTCAAAGCGACCTGATCGGACGTTTACACGCCTACATAGCCATTTTTATTATTTTCAGTATTTTCAGCTTGGTTTTTCTTTCTGTACAACAAAAACGACCAGAACCGCTATAGAGGAGTCTGGTGAAAAAGAAGCCACCGAACCAAGTTCCAGCAGCGAGTCAAGCGTTATCTAATGGCTCGCGTCTCTTCGACGGGGGATGCTTTCATCGTCACCAGGAGAACCTATACACCCGGTCACGTATTCACTCTTCCATTATAAAGTAACAGCATCGATACCCTTCTCCTTCGGCCGACTATAAAAGCTTGTACGTGTTGAATTTAAGGAGACGACGGCCGAGTGCACAACGACGATGATGTGCGAATAGAAGAGGGCTGTGTTTCGAGTATACCCGAGGAATATGTAGAGCGTTCCGTCTGAGCGGAGCCTCCGTTCATGGAGTGGGAACGTGAAGTATGACGATACGAAATGTAAGAAATTGGTAATTATGATTGTTGATTTGATTGATTATTATGGAACTATTATTAATACTGTTGAAACAGGTACTAAACATGCTGATGATATGAAATATTTCTTGAATAAGATTGATTGCTCCTGTGGCATTTGAGAAGCTGTCTTTATGAATAGCATGGTTTCGTTGTGGATTAACTTTGCCGATATGGGAGTAAGTAAATGCAGATCAGTTAGTTATTGTTAAAAAAGTCTCTGTATAATAGAGTGACACTTAACGAGGTGTGTTAAGCTTTCCGTACAGTTAAAGGCACCTATCCACATGGTCGATGTTTGTAATACTGGTCAGACTTTCAGCCTTTCGTGACCAGTGGACATATACAGTGAGTCACAGAAGTACACGTACCATCGCAATTCTTGAATTCGAATGACAAATAATTCTTTAAGAAATAATAGTGAATTTTTGTATGGGTTGTTGGTCTTTGGTGTGTTCCTTCACCGCTTATTCTGCGAACTTGGCTTCAAATAATATGGAAATACCTATTTTTCAGTGACACTTCTGAATAAATGTTCGCACATAAATCCTGTAACGCTATTGTTATAATTTATGTTAACGAAATACTGTAGGCGATAATGTTGCAACTATACGAAACAAGCCACAAGAATGCTAAACGTAGTATTATCACAACAAACTCCATATTACTAACAATTTACGTGTACTAAATTAACGAATAATAAATTATAATATACATGTATATTCAGTGAAATAAACGTACTATGGTCTATTGTAATAATTATCTTCTTGTACTCATGAATTCCAGCGTAGAATAAGTAGAAACAGTGAGTAATGAACAGACACGCCAATCAAGTTCCACTTATTACAAGTACACGAAGATTTTGTTATATACAATTACTGATGGACCACATAAAACATTCGACATTTATCAACAGGGTCAAAAGACATATCAAAAGCCAGATTTACAACATACCACTAACTAGAACAATTTTCCATAATTCTCCTACGATCCTTCCATACGTGCTCCAATCGAATTGAATTTCAACACTGCCCTGACGCTGTCACAGACAATTTTTATACAGAAAAATATTTACTTTATAATCACTGTGCTGCTAATTGACGTTGAAATAGATCAAAAACAATTAAAAAATTTTCACGACATATCCTTATTCTATTGACACAGCATATCCTTCTACGAAAATACTTTTTACAATGCAAGTGCATATTTTCTGCCGTACATCATTCTATGTTATTGCAGTTACGAGCAATAAATCAGCAACATGGTAATGCCATAGGGTATATTATCTTATCGAATGATAATCATTCGTTATGTTTAGCACTACATAAACGGTCGTTCAGCGCGCACCAAAATCATGTTGCGCCGACAGTATGGAGCTTCAGTTCGTTTTAACACTTATCGTCCTCGTGACGTCGGCACAATGCGAAGTTTACACTTCGGTTGTGGAGACCGACATCGGCCCGGTTCGAGGTAGATATCTCTATACAACTACCGAATTGAAGCAGTTCTCTGCGTTCCTTGGGATCCCGTACGCGGAACCACCCCTTGGCGACCTCAGATTCGCGGTAAATAACATCAGAATTATTTAGGGGGATGTTCTAGTCAGGATTACCATTTAATGTCACCGACACGATCTTTCAGTCTAGGCGCAGCACTTCTCAAATCCTTCTCAACGTTGCATTATTCAATAATTACTTTTAGAACTGTTCCATAATTTGTAAGCAAGAGGGTTAACAAATTATTCTTGTTTTCAATAATTTGGAAGCAATAGGGTTAACAAATTATTCTTGTTTTCAGAATTACTGAAATCATAAAGGTGCCTTCGTCGGAATTCATGCTGACTTATAATTTATTGCACACTTTTTTATTACACTATATTATGGTATATTGTATATCAAGTATATGTGTTATACAATTTAATTTGATGTACATTCCACGCTGGTAGCTTTTTTTTTTTCACGTAAAAATCAACTTAATTTGAAAATTTGCAGAGCTGGAAATCGAAAATGATTACTTTCTGACTTGCGACAAAGTTACCCTGATTGAGTCAAAGTTACCCGAAATTACGTTCCTTTATTTATGTTACAAAGTATTTGTAACTACGATCTAAAGTACAACAGCTCTCTTTTGTGATGACTGTATTCTATTTTTCAATCGGTCTACCAGCGTCTCATGCAGAAATATTAATGCTCTTGTGGTTAAGACATAAATGGTCATACAATTTACCATCGAACATAATATATCGTGTTTTAAGTAGGGTCATTAGTGATGGATATATACAGTAACAATATTTTCATAGTGAGTAGCATTTGAAGAACATTTAACCGTTTGAGTATCACAGGTATATAACGGTTTAGGTACCATTTAGCATTCTTACGGTTAGTGAAAATATGTGCGTTTGAAATTTAAAACCATTATTCAAGCATTTATATAACGGTTACTATATATAATGCAGGATCAAGATCTACAGAGGCGACGAAAATAGTAAGAAAATTAGGAAAGGTGGAAAGGCAAGATGACTCAATTGCTCACTTTTTCCTAGTTTCATGGATCCAACAACAGAACATCAAGTTTAACATTCTAATTCGCCTTTCACCGATTTATTTCGATCATCATAGAATCCTGTACCGCATCGAGGGTGGTCTGACGTGTTCAATGCAACTGAGGACTCATTGGCGGTATGCCCGCAATACATTATCTCTGGAGTTTTTGGACAGGAAGATTGTCTGACACTGAACGTGTACACTCCTGCGGTAATTCTCTCAACATTCTATTTATATATAATACTATTCACAATTTACATATCATAATAATACTGAATTTACATATTACAATACAACCATACTTACCATATTAGTAATGACTAAAAAAAAAAGAACCTGCCATAAAACATAATTCTCCTGCCGTAGTTTGCAGCAGCAGCCATTTCGGTGAACGTGATCTGAACCTACAACAATTGAAATCAGTTAATTATCTACGAAATTTTTCTACAAAGATTTCGTAACTGCTAAAGTCGAATTTTAAATGATAAAAATATGAATTCTAATATCTATAACGTTTTATAACGTACAGATTTCAATTCGAAAAATCCGGAAAATGTAATTAACTAAATCAAAAAGAGAAAATATTGATTTCCCCAGTGAATGAATAACATTAAATAAATGAATATTTCTAATCGATGACACGAAAATTGTTAAATATCAATATTTAATCATTTGCTTATATCAGTACTTAATTTACCTGTTTTTACATATAATGTTCATTTACTGGTGCATAAACCCCAGATTATTTTCTGTTGAATTTTCAAGATATAGAATAGATGTGCATATTTGTAAATTAATAATCGAGTTTTGCAATGTACTTCGCGTACCGTTACAAAAATTCCATTCAGATAAAGTGTCCTTAAATTTCGGTAGGTGAAATTCCCGAATCCCGACAAGCCTTACCCAGTGATGATCTGGATCTACGGCGGTGCATTTCTGTGCGGAGCAAATCATCGAATATTCTATGGGCCAGACTTATTGATAGAGGACGACGTGATCGTCGTCGCAATGAACTATCGTCTGGGCCCCTTAGGTACTGCAAACACTATAAAATCTCGATTAAAGCTATTGACGGACGCTTTATTCATGCAGGATTTATGTCGCTCGGAATAAAGGACTGTCCTGGTAATCAAGGCCTGAAAGATCAGAGGCTTGCCATGCAATGGGTGCAGAGAAACATCGCCAAATTCGGCGGCGATCCGAATCTTGTCACGATATTCGGCGAGAGCGCTGGTTCTGCCTCGACCTCGTATCACTTAATGTCGCACAATTCGCGAGGTAAGTGGAGTCGAAGTAAATCTAAACGCAATTGCCTTTTTCCTTGGTCAATTATTACTAGTCTACAGATTTTTGTGCAAAATTAACATTTTTAAAGTAATTTTTAAAGACAGGAGCAATCGTGGAAATTTTTTCCTTCTTGGGTATCTTATTGGAGTCAAGATAAAATAGAAAACTCGTTGGATCGGATTAAGTAAACTCAAAATATAGTAAAACCACAGTAACATCGTTTCCTTACCATCGTGATCGTTTCGTTTGCAGGCCTGTTCCATAGAGTAATCCTTCAGAGTGGAACTCCTTTATGCACATGGACGTACCAGACAGAAAGATATGCTACAATGAAAGCCCAAGAATTAGCAAAACGTACGGGCATTTTAGATACAGATCCCGAGCAGATCTTGGAAAAACTGAAGAACACAGAATTACATGAAATCATGAACGCTGCAGCGGACATGGGCTCCGTTATTTATAGGGTATCGTTAACATTATGAACTTTCGTTTAAATTTATTGACTCGTTGATAGACCGACTTTGCAAAAAAAATCGAGGATTTGTAACGTTTCACATTGTAACGTTCCTTTTGTTATAGGTCGAGGCCAACTTCCCGTTCGTGCCAACGACAGAATCCGCCGATCCAGACGAGGCAGTCATCACCGAGTGTCCGTTATCGTATTTCGAATCCGGTGATGTCGCCGATGTGCCTATAATGTTGGGATACAATCACAATGAGGCGATTCTGTTCACGGCGGGTAAGCAATTTATATCGATTTGATTCTGTAATATTCTGTTTCCATTAATTGCTTCCGAACTACGACTGAACAATTTCTAAAAAACATGGTTTATACATTTAAAAGAATATAGTGACAATTGTTGGATCAAAGTTCTGTCAAAGTCGCGTATAAAGAGACATCAATCGTTTCAATGGGGTGTGATTCAAGCCCTACTTGCTTTTATGAATCTTTCTAAAGATCATTTTTTTCCTCATCCTTTAGTTCCTGACGATGTCCAACGAATAATTTTCAATGAGATAAGCTCGGGTTTGAACTTAGCGGGACTGAACTTCGCGGCTGATTTCGCACAATTGGCGACAAATATAACTGGTTCATCCTTCGGGGACTTGACATATGTAAGTAATCTTCTGATCAGATTATCGTGCAGAGTGGTGGACAAACATACTCGTATAGTATAGGACGAGTTATTTGCATCGATCCCCTCGAATAACTTCGAAACCGTCGATGATACCGTGACACATTTCAGATAAAAATTAAACCGTTCCGAAGGGGATATTAATTTCACGTGAATAGTTTTTTTCTGTGGCTGAACGCGTAGAGGACATATGAAGGTCAAACTTGATCTTTTAATCAGAATTATATATTTCTTAATGGATTAATCAATGTTGCTCGTAATTCTCTATAAAAAAGTGTTATTTATATCGAAAAACCATTGGTTAAGGAGATATTTCAATTTCAAAATTTGCAATTTATATTTGTCTAGCGTTCACAGTGGAAATTAATTATGACTCGATCCAGTAACAATACCTGTCGACCACTCGCAAGAATTGCTCGTATCTGACTCCGAACAAAGTGCTATTAATTTTTTCTTATACTTTTCAGATGATTACAACGTATTTCTTCAGATCGCCCATCGATCTCTCGCAACAGATGTTGGCTAGACGCAACAGTGACAAACCAGTTTTCTACTATCAATTGTCGTACTCGGTGCCAACTAATCTGCACAGATTTTTCGAACCTACTTTAAGCGGTAATCAATTTGAAATGGTTTAACGTACATCATCTGGTACATAACACAATCATCTGGGAATCAGTTGTTTCAGGAACATTCTTGTGAGACATCGTATTTATTATAAATATGTTCCAGGTACTTCTCACATTGACGACATCGGCCAGATATTCCAGACATTTGGTTCACCGATCGATCCGTATAATCCCGAAAATGTACGACGCAAGCAATTTGTCAAGTTGTGGACCAACTTCGCCAAATACGGGTAAGTAAAGACATACTGACTCAGAAACTATAGAACAAGACCATAGTAACAATAATGGCATTGCTGATTCTTTTTTGAAAATTTCAATCATCTTTTCCTTTACTGTTTCTAATGTTCGGCACGTATAGTTGAGAGAACTAGTTAATTATATATATGTCTCAAGATTGAGAAAGACAATCGTAAAATTAGACTCTACAATTTTGTGACGTTTTTAAGATGTTTCATTGACAGAATAATTCATTTATTATTTAATATTAATTATTATTTTATCTGTTCACAGGAACCCTACACCACCTGGCAAGTCTGACGTTGTTTGGCTAGATTCAAAATCAGGCGGGCTGCAGATGCAACTTGAATTTAATAATTTTCACATGACACCTCGTGAGATTGACGAGGACAGTGTGAATTTCGTGCAGAAGCCATTCATCAAGACTTTACCAATCTTACAAAACTGCAGAAACAATATTTTGGAGGGCTTCAATATTTTCGACACAATATTATAAGCGTCACTCCTCTAATAATAGAGTTTAAGCCCATGAATTCGTATTAGCACTGGTATGATCCAGCGTATATTGTTGTATTCTGTCGATATAAATATTAATAAATACCCGATTAATCATGGAGAAATTGCACAATCCTCAATAACTGTGTATTAAGAGTCAGTTCAATTTTATTCTGTACAGAAAATTTATTGTATAGAATAACAGGCATCGCTTTTGTACATATTTTATATAATACCAAATAAATTCAGACAGTCTTTCATGAAAATGTAAGACGAAATTGAATACATTTGTAATGACGTTAATACCATTTTTTAAACGGTATGGCAGTCACTGCCAAGCACAATACCCATGAAAATACCAATCGAAGAATTTTCCCTATCCTATAAATCCTGTAAACTTCGTCGAATTTTTCACATTAAAACACACCTAACAAAATCGTGTATCTTGATTCCGGTTAGATGAAATTAATAAATCGTTGAAAGTATATTATGGCTATCAAAATACTCGATGTTTATAGAGAATACTAAATTCATTTGGACTATATTTGATGCCAATGTCAATGTTAATAATGATCGAAAAATTCTGACTTTTTAAAAAGTCGTTTGAAACTTAATATTATAAATAAAACAATTACTATTAAATATCCCTTATGAATATTAATACTTAGTTGTTGTTTAATCATTTCTTTTCTTATCAAAGCTAACTGGCTGGAAGCGTATTCTTTTGATCCAATTGGGTTTTTTCTAATGTGAAAATTTCTTTTAAGTCATCCACACACGATTAATTGACCTCGTAGCAAACTCGTTACGCTAATCGATAGATTTTTTACGTTGTTCTTGATCATGTACCATGTGACTCACGAGAAATATTATACTTACAAATGTCGCCTGACATTTGGGATGTAAAACTACAAACATTACCTGTCACGTACTATAAATTATATTCTAGTTGGCTGGAAACTATTTGTCAAATATTTTATTCTTTCCCATTATCTCCTTTAAAAAAAAAAATCGGTTTTCGTTGTTGCACTGTTGACAGCTATTGTCCGATCGAACGGCTAGGAAAGAATAGACATAGATACTTATCTATTAGCTGCTGTATTTACTGAGAGCTGTGAAGCATTTTTATTAAACGCGAAAAAAACTTTAAACGTGTTTTTCTCGAAACTTTTTAATTTCTCTTGACCTTTCCCTGATTGCAAATGACCGAAGGTTCGGATCGACTTGAAAAAATTACAGGATATTTAAACATGTGCCATTTCCCGCCGAACCTTTGATACAGTTCGCGAAAATTCGAGATTTTTCATAAAACAAATTGAACTCATGGTTTTTTAGCGCAGAAGCCAGGGTGAGTTTTTCTTGAAAAAATCGTCGATCTTCGATCACCCATTTAACAATTTTTATTTTTTATCAAAATAATGAAATAATTTTAAATGAAATAATTTTGACAAAATAATATTTTGTTTGTAACATATTAGGTGCACTTAGCACAATTTAATTCAAAAGTGAGGTGTACCAGAAATGGTGTACGGTTTATTCACAGAAATCCTTCACCAGAAGACAAATTCAAGAAAAATTCGAAACGTTTACGTTTACAGGACATGCTAAATGTTATTTCACTATATGTAAGTATTACTAATTGTCAAATATTAATTATTATTTAGTCTTATCAAAGCTAACTGGACCAGTTGGACTTTGTCTAACTTGAGAATTTATTTTAAATCACTTTTTTCTCCCTGCAATTCTGAATGCATCAATTATTAATATTAATATACAAACGAGGGTAATTCATCTCGAGGCGAGCTCGTTACACCAAAAAGTAGACTATTTACGTTATTCTTAATCGCGTATCGTGTGACTCACGCGAAATATTATACTTACAAATGGCAGTTACGTCGATACAGTCGTCTAACATTTCGGGTGTAAAATTACATAAATTACAGTCATGTACTGTAAATCCTTTTAGCTAGAGACTGTTTGTCAAATATTTTATTTCTTCCTATTATCTTCCTTAAAAAAACGGGTTTTCATCGATAAGCAGTTAGCAGCTATTATTCGATGTGTTTGAGCATTCGTGACGTTTTCATATATTTCGATACACCAAATGTCTAATCTTGCCGATTACAATTAGAAAAATGCCACATTAAATAGTATCCAATGTGCAAACGTAAAATGAACTTCTTACGTGTAACTTCTTCGAGCGCAAGAATAAATTTCAAACCTATTCGGATCATCAAGTGCCTTGCATTAAGAGTAAATTTTGGAAATGGTGTGCCAGTCAAATGTCAATTGAAACGAGTGAACCGTAATCAGGGGTGAATAATCAAAAGTGACCACAAGATCTCGAAATTCAATTAAACCAACGGAAACAGAAGAAGATGAAATCATCCTTCCAAACAAAACTGGTAAAACAATAGCAGACCACGTATGTCTAGTAAATAGAAAACTTCCCTGACCGAGCATTCTTAGCAATTCGAATGGAAAAATTTGGACACGTCATTAATCAATGACCAAAATTTTACTGCAAGTAATAATTCTTTCTTCGACGATAACGCAGCACTCGTTCGTTCACATTGTAGTTTTCGCATATATAAACCAACAGACGTTCTGTGACCAGCACGTTCAGTATCGTCGAATAGCAATCGCATAAAAAATGAAGCTCCTCGTGGTCGTCGTTGTGGTTGCCCTCGCAGTGTCATCTGTGAGTGGTTTCCTCTTTGATATTCCTATAAAGCTAGGAGCAGAGGCTCTTAAAGACGGTGTGGCCCTTGGAGCACCAATACTGGAAAAAACCCTGGGCATCATATCGAACTCTAAACGCGATGCCGAAGACACCGAGGAGATCAAGAGCGTTCAGAAGCGTGGAGCTCTGGAGATTGGCGGAACGATCGTGGCTGCTGACGCCTTCAAGAAATTTGCCGAGTTTTTCATTGAAATATTCAAGAAGATCGTGGAGGGTATCATAGCGCAAATACAAAACGGATCCCAAAAGAGGGAGGTTGCCGACTCGGTCGTGCAATTACTGGCGAAAGGTCGTTAAAGTCTAGAAGATGATGGTTCGTCGAATTGGACGATTTTCAAAAGAGCCTCGACGATTATTGAAGGATTGATCGTTGGTTCTGTTCTATTAAGTGATTCCAGCATGGGAAAATATCGATTGTAATCCTAATATTTTCAAATATTTTACTGTTTCAGTAGTAGAATGCCAATATTTGACTTTGAACGTGCGAATAGGGGATATTCTGCACGTGGTAGAATATTCGAGAATATGTTACGTACTGTATTCTCTTTTGTTCTGTTGGTAGTAACTGTGCAAACTTAGATTACAGGCGGTTATAATTCACGTCATTTTCGGAACAAAGAGTTCCGTAGTTGTCGATTTTAAAATTCTAACTGTATTTTTCATAATTACCCAGGGTAGGTTTAATTAATATCTTAACCATTTTTTACAATTCAAAATACATTGCCTATTTTTGTTTAATCAAAGTGACGTAGGCTGATGGTGACAGACGATAAATATTTCTGGTAATCCCGGAAAATATGGCAAATGTCATCCGGATTTAGAAGTCCTCGCTGAATCTCTTAGATTCGCACTTTGTAAACGCCATCAACACGGCGTAGTAAAATGCTTGTTAAACTGTTCAGATCAGGTGGGCCACTCAGGCGTACTAGGTAATGGCAACGCAGGTGAACCAGGTAATGGCAACCCAGGTCAACCAGGCAATAACAGCCCAGGTGAACCAGGCAATAACAACCCAGGTGAACCAGGCAATAACAAATCAGATCAACATGGCGATTGAGAATTAGGAACTATAAATGGTACCATGTGTATCATTATGACATGCCACGAAAATGTCGAAGATTTTCCAGTCAACTCTGATACATTCACTCGAGCAGTGAACCCTTTAGATTTTACTGTATTTTATTTTGCTTGTAATTCTATGAATAATTAATAAGAAACTTGATAGATTGCATATTATATGGCAGTTCATTTTTCCCTCTCCCTGACTTTCGACCAGCAAATAGCTTTGTATTGATAAGAAATGTTAGTTAGAGTAAACCGAAAAACGAGAAGATCGGATAATAGATAGTGATTACAATTGTTCTGTTTTCGGATAGAGAACAAACTAGTCGCACCTTTTCTTAGCAGCAACAGACGTATTGTCACATGCAGCGGAAATGCGATCTCTGATTTGTGGGAATGTTTTTCTGAACGATGAATTGATTGTCTTTGATGATTTGTCCTTTGTACCTTAATTTGAGATTTATTTTTTAATCGAACCGGAACTCTTAGAAAATTTAAAGCCTTCAGAACTATTCCTACTTTTAGAACCTTCAGAACTCCTACAATTTTTTGAAACGTCTCGAACTTCTAGAACGGTCCGAATTTTAAGAACAGTTTGGGGTTTGAATTTACATGTAGCAATCGGCTTTTATTAAATTTTTGTATTAACTTAATCAAGAACGTTATTGCTTACGAACCAGCGAATTATGGAGTGGTGTCCACCTTAAAGGTGGTTGTTTTCGACGATTCTCTGATTACGTCTACCCACGATGACCACGAAATTGAACTTCTTCCTTGAAGAAATAGAATACCTATGTCCGACTTTGATTGTGAAAATTAACAATATTGGTATTTGAAATAGAATATTCAAGAGTATGTTACATTCTATACGTTATTTTATTACTGACTTTTTCATTGATTTATCCATTGTCCAGACTCGATCGAATGCTTTTGTTTAAACCTCGTTATGTCACAAATTTGCAGCAATACAGAATAGGAAAAGGTACGTAAATCTCTTTTGACCTCTTGTTCTCCCTTTATTTGTAAATGGTGTGCCACTCGATGTCAATTGAAAGTTCTCAAACGCTGGAGCCTAAAAAGTTCTAACAAAGTGAATAATCAAAAGTGATCTCAAGATCTGGAAATTAAATTAAACCAATGGAAACAAAAGAAGATGGAATCATTCCTTGGGAACAAAACTGGTTAAAACAATAGCAGACAACGTATATCTGGTAAAAAAAAAAAAAACTTCCACGACCGAGCATTCTTAGCAATTCAAATGCAAAAAGTCTGACACGCCATTATTCAATGACCAAAATTTTACTGCAAGCAA